TGTATATGTACGTACCTGTACATGCACGTGTAAGTGTGTATGTACGTACCTCTGTACATGCATGTGTACGTGTATATGTACGTACCTGTACATGCATGTGTAAGTGTGTATGTACGTACCTGTACATGCATGTGTACGTGTATATGTACGTACCTGTACATGCATGTGTAAGTGTGTATGTACGTACCTGTACATGCATGTGTACGTGTATATGTACGTGCATATGTACATGTATGTGCACGTGTACATGTGTATGTGTGCGTGTACGTGTATGTGAGATGTGCGTGCCAGTATGCCCGTGTGTATGTGGGTGAATGTGTGTGTATGTGCATGCGTGCGTGGGTGCTTGTACGTGTGTGCACGCATGTCGTAAACCACTCACTCCGTAGGGCATGCATACACGCGCACGTGCACGCACGCACACGCACACGAACAAACACACACACACACACACGCACACACACACACACACGCACACACACGCACACACACACACACACGCACACACACACACGCACATGCACACGAACAAACACACAGACACACACACACACACACACGTACACACACGCACTACATATTGTCAAGAGTGAATAATAATAGATTATCATAGATTACAATAATAGAATCTATTATTATTCACTCCTAATATTATCTCACAGTACGACAGAACGATGATTCACCGAGCGCAGGTGATTCCTTGTATAAGCCGGCTAGCTCATCCTTGCCTCGCACTATCACATGCCATCTGTAATTAGCGCCACAGACTAGCCGACTGCAGATAACCCTCTTCCGTTCCTCGCAGATGAAGATGCGTGAGATTAAAATTCCCAGTGGCAGATAATTCAGCACGGTGGGTTTTTTAACCCAGGCGCGGCTTTCTATAATAACAGACGCTTTATGTTTTCACAGCAAAATGCATAGATATACCAACTGTGAGCTTGTCTATGTTGTAAAAATTCACTACAACTCATTTGTATCGCTACTTTTTGTAACATTTCTCCAGCAAACCTAAACAGTCTTAGGAAACTAGTACGTTCGAATGTTTACAGCGTTTACACATCCGGGACGCAGCCAAGCGATCATAGTTTTCATTTTAAAACTGTTATTTTCTATGATAAAACAAGTTACAATTTAGTATTCGATGTTTGTTCAGTACAAAATTGTGAAATTTGTTTAAAACATGTATGTTATCTACATTATTCATGCAATCAGAAAACATATAGTGTTTTCTTTCCAGGGGCTATTTGCGCTAGCGTACGCCGGAACTCTCTCCAAACTATTTTTCAAAAATAGTCAACTTCGGAGCACATTTCTGGCTCAATGAGAACATTTCGTGATGTTTTCATACTGCAAGTATGCTCACAGTGGGTGTATGTAGGCATTTTATTACGAGGTTTATCCATCTTAAAGGCGTTTTTAACCTACTAGGAGACGAGGCGTCTTGAAGCGTTAAAGAGGAAAACAATTAGGCTACATAAAGCAGAAAGTATCAGTAAGTATCACACAGCAGAGATTCTGTAATGAGAGGAAGGGATAGGGGGAAGAGAAGGGGGAAAGGAAGGGATAGGGGGAAGAGAAGGGGGAGAGGGAGGGATAGGGGGAAGAGAAGGAGGAGAGGAAGGGATAGGGGGAAGAGAGGGGGGAGAGGGAGGGATAGGGGGAAGAGAAGAGGGAGAGGAAGGGATAGGGGAAGAGAAGGGGAAGAGAAAGGGATAGGGGGAAGAGAAGGGGGAGAGGAAGGGATAGGGGGAAGAGAAGAGGGAGAGGAAGGGATAGGGGGAAGAGAAGAGGGAGAGGAAGGGATAGGGGAAGAGAAGGGGAAGAGAAAGGGATAGGGGGAAGAGAAGGGGGAGAGGAAGGGATAGGGGGAAGAGAGGGGGGAGAGGGAGGGATAGGGGGAAGAGAAGAGGGAGAGGAAGGGATAGGGNAAAAAAGGATAAACAGCTCCACCGGGTCGTAACAGCATTAACGCTATGCTGCCGTGACCACATAACTAGCAAAACTAGGCTTTGCAGTAGTCACACAGTCAGCAGTAAATCAGTGTCACTGGTTTAGCGCCACTAGTTTTTTCGCGTACCGCGATATTTTTCCGGGACATGTCAGACACTGTGATGGGCAGGAGTTTTACGCAAGTGTTAGGTTTTCGGCGGCTTCGGTGAAATATGAATTATCGTCGACGTATGGATTCTCATACCACTGCGCAAATATACCAGGAGTAATCAGGCATACCTCCGTCAGCGGGATCGTAGTACTGCTCCAGGGTAGGGTGAGACTCAGCACAAACCCAGTCTCTCGCGCCCTCTACCGTGATCCTCTTGTTCGGGTTGAACGTAAGCATCTTGTCGAGGAGGTCGAGAGCTGCAACGGCGGGCGATGGCGGTGAGTGTGAGATGAGAGACAAACGGCCTCGCGACGGTCGTGGGTGGAGACGAGGACTCGAACGGCGGCGAACTCGGCGTGGTGTGGCGAGAGCGAGCACCGAACGCGGCGGACGCGTGGTGCGTAGACCAGTACACGAACGCCGCCTCGGCGCTGGTGGCAAGACCAAGACGAGCGAACGCGCGACCGGCGTTGGTGCGAGACCGGAGACACGAACGCGACGCGTGGGTGCGAGACGAGAGCACGAACGCAGTATCGCGAGCCGCTGGCGTGCGAGACCGAGCTGGTGCGAACGGCCCGCGCCGATCGCGTGGGTGCCGAGAGCGAGAACACGAACGCGCGAACCGCGTTGGTGCGACGAACGAGACACGATAGCGAACCGCGGGCGATCGCCGTGGGTGCGGAGACGAAGACACGGACGCTGCGACGCCGTGGTGCGAGAGAGCCGGGACACCGAACGCTGCGTCGCGCTGCGTGCGAGAAGCGAACGACACGGACCGCGCTGACGGCGTGGGTGGCGACGACAGACACGGACCGGCCGCGACGCGTGGCGTGCGAGACGAGACAGCTGAACGCTGGCTTACGCGTGGTGCCGAAGACGAGACACGAAGTCGCGACGGGCGTGGGATGCGAGACCGAGACTCACGGAACCGCGGGACGCGTGGGTGGCGAGAACGAGACAGCGGACCGCCGCGACGGCGTGGAGTGCCGAGACTGAGACGACGAACGCGGCGAGCGGCGTGGGTGCGAGAGGGGGCGGGGAAAAAAAGAGACACCGAACGCAGCGGACGCGTGGGTCGCGACGAGCGGAGCACGAACGCGCGACGGCGTGGGGTGCTGAGCCGAGAGCACAGAACGCGCGATCGCGTGGGGGTGCGAGACGAGAGGCACGAACGGCGGCGAACGGCGTGGGCTGGGCAGAGACGAGACCCGAACGCGCGAGCGCGTGGGTGGCGGGCGGCATACGAACGCGCGACGCGTGGGTGGGCGGAGACGAGGAAAGCACGAACGCGCGGCGCGTGGTGGCGAGATCGAGACAGCGAACGGCATGCGACGCGTGGGTGCGAGACCAGACACCGAACGCGCGGACGCCGTGGCGTGCGGAGTAGACACGAACGCGCGACGGCGTGGTGCGATGGACGAGAGCAATCGTAACGCGCGACGCGCGTGGGTGCGAGCGCGAGACACCGAACAGCGCGACGCGTGGGTGGCGAGACGAGACACGAACGCGACGGACGTGGGTGGCGAGAGCGAGACCGCACGAACGCGGCAGACGGCATGGGTGCGAGACGGAGACAGTCGAACGGCGACGCGTGGGTGCGAAGACGAGACATCGAAGCCGAGCGGCCTTCCTCGGCCCTGCCCTCGCGACCGCGTGGGGGTGCGAGACGAGACACGAAGCGCGGCGACGCGTGGCGTGCGAGACGAACATCGAACAGCGGCGACCGCGTGCGTGGCGAGAGCGAGAGCATCCGACCGCCGGACGCGTCGGTGCGAGACGCAAGACATACGAACGCCGCGACGCGTGGGTGCGACGATCGAGACACGTAACGCGGCGACGCGTGGGTGGGGCAGAGGACGCAGACACGGACACGCGCGTCGCGTGGGTGCGAGACGAGACACCGAACCGCGCGATGCGCGTGGTGCGAGCGACGAGACACGAACGCGCGACGCGTGGTGCCGAGACGAGAACCGACGAACGCGCGACGCGTGGGGTGCGCGACGAGACATGCGAACGTCGGACGCGTGGTTGCCAGACGGACACGAACGAGCGCGTAACGCCGGTGGGTGGCGCAGACGAGACTGCCGCCGAACTGCGCGACGCGTGGGTGCGAGACGAGACAGCGAAGCGCACCGGCGTGGGTGGCGAGACGAACCCGAACGCGGCGAGCGCGTGGGTGGCGAGACGAGACACGAACGGAGGAGACGCGTGGGTGCGAGAACGAGACACGAACGCGCGACGCGTGGGTGCGAGACGAGACACGAACGCGCGACGCGTGGGTGCGAGACGAGACACGAACGGCAGGCTGCGCAAGCTTCTATTGTCGTCCGCTCTCCGACACCACTGTACCGCCCGCGTGCGCGCGCGCCGCACAAACATCCGCCGCCGGCGCCGCGAGCGACCGAAATGAGATCCGGCGGGAGAGGATGGTAATTCAAACTGCTCTCGCGTTCGACCCTCACGGGTGATTGTCGCGTAGGAATCAGGAACCGTGCGCGGCGGCAGCAGCAGCAGCGGGGGGGGGGGGGTGTTCTCACATCAACACAAGCATTGTCGCCCGCGCTGCCCGCGAGATATCTGGTCGGTGAATTCGCTGTCCTCTGACGTCTAAACTCTAAACATCGAAATGGCATGCATCTATCGGTCAGCGGCAATCAGTGCGACACGTCTAGTTCCGCATAGCTATTGCGCACTCATACGACTGCATCCGTATGCACATGGTAAGCGAGAATAGAAATATACCGCACGCACTGTCACTCGTCTGATTGGGTTAGAAGCATCAGAGGCATCACCAAGTGCTGCACATGCATTTGATTTGCCTTGATGCACACGTATTTGATTTGCCTTGCTGCACACGCGTTTGATTTGCCTTGCTGCACACGCGTTTGATTTGCCTTGCTGCACACGCGTTTGATTTGCCTTGCTGCACACGCGTTTGATTTGCCTTGCTGCACACGCGTTTGATTTGCTGCCTGTAACAGTCTATGAAGAAGCTTACCCTTTAGGTCAGCATTAGGGTAGAGTTTGGTCCAGGTAACCTTCGGCTTGTGGGGAAGTGACTGCAGATAAGCCCTCGCCTGTATGGTAAGAAAACAGCACACCTGACTATTCTGGCAGAGTCCTAGCTGAGGCAGTTAAACATCTTAAACGTCTATATACAACGTATGCAATGCACCTGGGCGTGTAAGTGTGTATGTACGTACCTCTGTACATGCATGTGTACGTGTATATGTACGTACCTGTACATGCATGTGTAAGTGTGTATGTACGTACCTGTACATGCATGTGTACGTGTATATGTACGTACCTGTACATGCATGTGTAAGTGTGTATGTACGTACCTGTACATGCATGTGT